CAAACATTATAATATAAAATACGAAAATATATTTTAATCTGAGTTCCGAATATTTTAATATAAAAGCATAAAAAGTATTTCTGAACAATATTTAATAAAATTTAAAAAAAAAAAAAATTTAATTTAACATAGATTTAAAAAAAAAAACAATTGCAAGATTAACCCAACACAAATATGTACATATATCTGAGAGCTATTTATAATATTTCTGAAAACTTCCATGGACGAACTAATATTCCCAGGAAATGATTTTTATAGACACTTTTAGCTTTTAAACTTTTAAAGTATGTTTAAAGCTTAAAAAAAATACACACATCCTAAAAGCTTTTTAAATAAATACTCTAGGCTATAGCAAATATTTCTGCAAAATTCAATGTGATTTCCACTGAACTCATAAGTCACTAAAGTCACTAAAATAATAATAATATTGGTTTTTGTAATTGTTGGCAACACAGTTTGTAATTTAATTAGTTGAGGAACATTTCGACAATTCGATTTTGTTAAAGAGAAATTCTTAAAGCTGGTGCAAACTTTTTGCCAATAAAGTGCACAGACTGTCAATTAATAGAATAAATATCAGGGGGAAAAATCACGTCAGCATTAGTGCCAAACACATAATGAGATTAATGTGGACAACAGTTGACGTCTTGTTTCTACATATGTGCGATGGGCTAAGAGCGTGTGGCGTAGTTGACGCAGTTTGGGTGTTAAGGCGACAGCAACTAATACAAATGTCAGGCGATTAAGCCACAAAAAGGATCAGGCTGATTAACAAAAGCTTAAACATGTTGCAGCGTCCCTCTCTCTCTCTCGCTCTGGAAAACTAGGAATATTTGGCAACAGCGTCTACTCATTCGATTTGTCGTTAATAATATGAGCCGTGCTCGGATGGCTCACTGTTTATTTAATTTGTTGCTGCCTCCTGACAGCCGCCGTTTCATGCTTGACGACAGCTAGAGGCTTTCTATTTGCCGAATACTGACTATGGAGTGAGCCATAGGCGTAGGGGGGGCTTGTTTTCAGGGATTCATATAAGGCATTTTACCAAGGCAGGCTATTTGTTCAACTCTCAATGCTGAGGCGTGTGCAGTTAAAGGATTTCGCTGCCGCAAATAACTTCACGCGTGTATTTGTGTATCTCTATGTGTGTGTGTGTGTGTGTAAGTAAGCGGCTCTACTGGCACGTTGTTTATTTTTCTATGAGTTGCTTTTGTTTTTCTTTGCCGCTGCCTCTGCCCGTGTCGTGCCGTGCCGCTGTCGTTTTCCCATTTTATTCCACATTTACTTTAGCTAGCTAGCATCGTCTGTCGAAAGCAAAAGTGAGCTAATCTTATTGTTTTCACAAGAGCGCCGCGAACGCACCGCTTCTACAATAGCTTGTTGATCCTTTGTGAGTTATGCGGCAGCGGCAGTGGCAGTGTGGCAGCGGCAGTGCTCTGTTATTCTGTTACAGTGTTTGCTTACACTCCAGTCGTTTGCCAATTTGATTGGTGACGCTCTGGCGTGCTGAAAATGGATTTAAATTACATTGTTTCACACACTCGTCAGCTGGAGTACGTGAGCAAATTTGCGAGCATCAAGGATAAAAGGAGCAACAGCRCCAGAGCCGCACAGAAATATCAACATCAACAATAACAACTGACAACGTACTTTACATGTGCCTTGTTTGCACTGACTTTTCGGCAACAATATTTTCATTTTATTGATTAGTTCTCCCCTTTCGATGGGCCGATGCTGCTGCTATTGCCTGAAAGTATGCAACGGTTTATTTACATTCGTCTGCACAATGTTTCCCTTTTCGGTTTGCGTATTTGTGTTTGCTTAGTTTTAGGCTAGGGATAACGTGGGATTTACTCGGCTGCTCATCTTAGCATATTTTTGTATGCCAAGTTTTCTGTTTTTCGGCCGTAGACCATATTTGTGCTGGCCATAAATAAGACGTACACAGAGTTTGCTGTGGTTACGACTTTAGCAGCACTCAACTAACCACGAGTTTTATTTTTGCTGATTTTTTTTTTTTTTTTGTTTGTTTGTTTGTTTTTTTGTGCTGTGGTTAAGTGAAGACTCTGACAGAGCTCAGCTCTGTGAGGCCAGTGGCCACAAAAAGTATGCGAGCTGCTCAAGAAGCGGGACTGGCAAGAAGTTCGCCAAAGTATGTAGGGATACATAATCCGCAGCTTAGCTTTAAAACTTGACTGTACAAGTTCATAACTTGTGCTGGGCTAGTGCTCGCCCGCCCTCCCCTCGGCCCTGCCCAAAAAGTGTAAGCAGCTATTTGGCAGCCGCCCAAAGTGGCTACCCACCGCCGCTCATTGCTGCATCCTTGTTGCTGCATGCATGCGGGCGCAGAATGAGTAGCTGCAACTGGCAGTCTCACTCTCTTGGCTGGGGCCACTTAAGCAGCCAGCAACTTGCTTAGGTTTGAGCCACTCTGCCACGGCGTGACCAGTTTCTGGAGTGCATGTTGCCCGGGCCCTGCACACCTCAAGTGTGCCCCAAAAAGAGAAGAGAAAAAGGTGGAAAAAAGTGAGGAAAAATATCGGTGACACAGTGCAGCAGAGTTGCTGCAGGTTTGCATTGCACGCATCTATTAAACAATAATATTTATGCAGAGCTTCAAGCGAAAGTGCGAACAAAATATAGAGACATTCATTTCTTTATTTTAGCAGTTCTTTGCCAGAGTTTATTGTTTGCCATCGACTTATTTCTTATGCAAAGACCAGAAGCCGACAGCTGTCACAGGTGGCCACCACCGTCCAGCGTGGGCCAACTGAGCCACAACTGGCAGACAGCCCGTTTATACTGTGCCGCCTTATTCTATTTTATTTTATTTCATTTTATTTATTTTTTACTTAATATTGCAAAAGTTTGCTTAAAAGCTTTTAGCAGCCTTCTTTTCTGCCAGTGTCTTTCGTTTCATTTTTATTTTTATTTTATTTTTGGCAAAGTTTTCGCGTCGATTCTCTGGAGAGTTGACAATCGCTTCGACTTTGCATTACATATTTTGTCTGTCTAATATTTAAGATAGCACAGGTCCAGCGGGAACTGTCAAATTTTAACATTTGATACACACACACAGAGTGAAACAAAGAGAGAGAGTGAGAGAGAGAGTTGTATTTTCATAGACAATGGATCGATAATTGAGCTTATCAGCAGATTTGATATTTTTGCTTATCAAAGCAGTTTAGTTTATCTGACTTATCATATTAAATTATTACAATGTGCTGAGTAGGCCCACTCGCCGTGAGCGTGTGAGTGCTTCTATACCGTATACGGCAACTAATCAATGCCGCAAGCCGCCCACAGACCAAACAACAACGTGAATGAACAGAACTGAAATAATGGACAATGCACAATTGACTCATTAAGCGACTAAACCGCGACAAGGGAAAGCCAACAATCGCGCACGCATACACATACAACCACACGCACACGCACACACACATGCACATATGTACGCACAGACAAAATGTTTAATGATGTTGGCCAGTTGGCTGCCTTTGTGGCCAGAATACTAGAGCAGTAGAGGCATGTGTCAAGTGACTTGGCCTGTTATTAGGTGGCCATAATTGTAGTAGAATGTTTGGACGCAATTATCAGTGCAGTCAATTTGCAATTGCCCACTTGACATTCAGTTAACATGTGCAAAGTTTAAGTACATCCCCACACAAGCACATTCGCACAATCGAGACTGAGAGAGAGAGAGAGGGTGGGAGAGAGAGAGGGAGGGAGGGAGGAGGCTAGAGAGAGTGAGACGAGCAATGTTTGCTCTACAATTACATTACAATTTTTACACAATCAACGTCATCGTCATCGTCTCATCGTAATAATAATCAGCCAAAGTGAAGTATCAAATTACAGTCATAGACTACGAGCCGAACTGAATGGCAATTGTAACGGCCGCAGCATCATCCACTTTTCCTTCCGCCACTCCACTCCACTCCACTCCACTTCACGCACATTCCATTACACATACGCCGCGTGTATAGGCTGCCTGCCTTGCCTTGCCTGGCTGTGGCAGAGACCTCACACAGCGCAATTCTAATCAATTTTTATTATTTTTATAAACCTAGGCAGAAGTCAGCGCCCAAGGCTCTGAGTCCCGCCCTCTCTCTCTCTCTCTCTCCCTGGTTGAGCTGTCTGCCTTTGGCTTTGTTTCGTCTACGAAAATTTATCTAGCAAGAGGTAGCAAAAACAAATGGCTCGCCTGGGGGGAAATTGTTGCTTCACGTGTGCCTAGAACTTTGATGCTGTTGCTGACAAACACAAAAAACGCGTTAGGACTCGCTGAGGGAGAGGGAGACAGACAGAGAGAGGGGGTCAGTGGGCAGGGTGCTGGGTGCTGGCTGCGATGTGGCTGGCTGCTAAGGACGGTCGAATGTGTTTACGTTATGATTTTCGAAATCAAAATTCAGCACGAATACGAATAAATTTACTTCCGAATGTCATTAAATTGTTTTCCGATAGAACGTGTATATTTCACGCAAGAACTTTTGCCGCGCAGCATGGGACTGACAGCGCTCTAACGGCCTGGCATCCTCCTTAAGTCTTGACGTCCTCAGCATCCTACCGAGCTCTATCATTCTCTCTCTCTCTCTCTCTCTCTCTCTCTCTCTCTCTCTTCGTGCACTCTGATTTCCTTTTATTATTACGGTACTTGATATTATTGATTTTGATTGAGATTTATGTTGCTGGGCCGGGCTGCTTCTTCCTGTTTCCATTACATATACTATACAGCCTGTGGTTGTTGTTTTTGTTGCCTCTGTTGCTGCTGCTTCTGCTGCTATAAATATTTAGCATATTTTCGTCTAGTTGCCTGAAAGATATGCATAAATTGTTGTTGTTTTTTGTTGTTGTTGGATGGTAAGTTTTTTGATTAATGCACAAAGTTTTTCCATGTGCATCGTTTAACCAATAAAAAGTTTGGCAGACACGATTTTTGCCGTCAATTGACTTAACAATTCTTATCCTCTACTTTCTGTTGCTTTCGCTCTTTGCAGCAGAACTCGTCGGCGGTGCAGAGTGACTATCGCATTCAATCGCCCGCCGGTGGCTCGCCGTTGCCGCTGTGCGCCGCTGCCAATGCGACCAGCAACAATGCCAACAACTCGGCCGAGAACAACTGCAGCACTGTGGCCATCTTGCAGAACAACACGAGCGCTGTGAATGCCTCGGCGGGCAGCAACAATACCAATGCTGCCGGCGGACCCAATACGGTGCTGCGCGTCATTGTTGAAACTCTGATGTACCCCGTTTCGTTGGACATATTGCATCAGATATTCCAACGCTTTGGCAAGGTCCTCAAGATCGTCACCTTCACCAAGAACAATTCATTCCAGGTGAGTGGAGTGTCCAAGCAATTTGTGAATTCAAATATGAGAATATGTTTAATTGAATTAATTTATCCTTCAGGCTCTCATCCAGTATCCGGATGCCCACTCTGCACAGCAGGCCAAGTCAATATTGGATGGCCAGAACATCTACAACGGCTGCTGCACCTTGCGCATTGACAACAGCAAATTGACCGCCTTGAATGTCAAGTACAACAATGATAAGTCGCGCGACTTTACGAATCCGGCGCTGCCACCGGGCGAGCCGGGTGTCGATCTCATGCCCACAGCCGGCGGCTTAATGAATACCAATGATCTGCTATTGATTGCCGCCCGTCAGCGGCCCTCATTAACAGGTGATAAAATAGGTAACACAAACAGAACAATTTCCTTCTATTATTGTTTTATTTTTCGTGTCCGTAACGCCTGCTTACATAATCACACACACACACACAAACACACACACTCACACATATAGCAAATGCTTTGATTTTCGACTTTTTGCCTTTGACACTCGCTATCGATTCGTCTAGTATTAAGTCGCATGCAACAGCGCAACACGTTCAAAAACCTAAATTACTATATATATGTATCTCTTTCTCTCTTCTCGCTCGCTCTCCACCTCTCTCTCTCGCTGTTGCTGTCGCTGTCGCTCTCGCTCTGTGTCACGCTTCCCTCCTGGCTTCTCTAGTCAACGGCCTGGGCGCACCCGGCGTGCTGCCGCCTTTCGCCTTGGGCCTAGGCACTCCACTCAGCGGCGGCTACAGCAACGCCCTGCCCAACCTGGCGGCCTTCTCGCTGGCCAACAGCGGCGCCCTACAGACCGCCGCTCCAGCTATGCGCGGCTACTCGAATGTGCTGCTCGTATCGAATTTAAATGAAGAGGTAAGTGAAACCAAATTGAATATAACCAATATATACCTATAAAATATCTGTCAATAATTGATTTAAAAAAAATTAAAAAAATTGTATATAAATT